TAGTAACTCTTCCTTTTCTATAAATATATTAAATTATTCCAGGGTGTGACTTATCCTGCGTGCCATGGCATATGGAGCAAGTGGGCGCCACCGTTAGAAAGAAGTAGACTGGCAACCACCTCTTTTTGCGGTAATTAAAATGTTACTAGTTCATTAATCCAGAAGTTGTGGCCATCATAACCTCATTTTATCCTCTTGTTTTCAGGGTCCTATGCAGGAGCAGTTGTCGCAATGCCTCTCGCAGGGATTTTAGTGCAATACACAGGATGGTCATCTGTTTTTTATGTATATGGTGAGTAAGACTCAAGGATATTTTGTCACTATATGCAGTGGTGTCTAGCAGAACAGTCATGATTTCAGGGGAAGCAGGCACAATTTTAGGGTCAGCACTGTTAAAAAGTGTATACATTTTGTAATGGCAAATGTCAAATGTTTACTCACCAATCATGTCATCGATTTAATATTTTTTAATAGGTTTTTCAAATGATTTAATGTTTTTAGATAGGGATTTTTCCAAAATATAAAAATATCAAAAATATATCATATATAAAAAAAAAATATAAACTTAGAAAAAAAAATATTACAATTTTAAACATTTTCAAAATATTTAATTATTTTAAAAGTTTATCAAAAAATATTAAATACTTGGAAAAGTTTATCTGGAAATATTAGACAGTGGCCTATATTAGCTCTGAACAGGACACGATACTTGTGGTCAATTATGGCCAATGTGGTCATCGAAAGGGTAACTCATGAGAAAATGCAGAGTTTATACACATATTAAACTTGGGTAATCAGTATAAAGCTGGATGTCTTGCTTCATCAAGCCATTAAGGATAGTGACTGTGACTGGAGAATGGTAGATAGAGGTTTGTGATTTGTGGACTGTTGATTGATTTTATGTCTGTCATCAAATATTTTCTGTGCCCTTTCTTCTAAAACTGTGTAATAATGTGTATACTTTGTGTTGCTAATTTGAGCTGTTCAGATGACTAACACAAATTAAGTAAATGATAGCTAGTATGCGGTTCATGTCAACCAAAAGTCACACTTTTGGCAGGTCAGTCCCAATTTGACTGTCCTGCTTCCAGGGACACCAGGGAACTTTACCTGGGCAGCATTATTAGACATGTTTTTGCTATGCAACAGGCTCTAGGACAATGTAGACACTGCTTCAACAGTGCTTCCTGCATGGTCTTATTATGGATGTCGCTGGTGATGTAGTGGTGTCAATTGCAACACGGTGGAGTCATTTGTAATGACCGTGGTCCTACTCTACCATTCAAGTTGCATACCTCCCAATGAGGCAAGGGTTAGCTTAAAGGATCACTTCTTTTTCACTTTGGAGTTGAATTCTGGGATATAAGCAATTTAGTTGAAATAGTGATCAACTGATGACATATCATTGCATCCTCTTCGTAACCTTTTTGTATCAGTGAATTACTCAGGGTTTAAAAATTGTGGTGCAATTATAAGATGGCCAAGTGATAATTATGCTAATATAACTTAGACAAAAAGCTAATCTTTTACATCAATAATCTTGCTTTGAACTAATTTATGTAAAAAACAAACAAACAAAAACTAAACACAGGCCTGTTTTTGTACAGTAATCCAAGAGTGCATTTTAACTCAAACGATGAGAGTGTAATCACTAAATAATTGATAGTGTCTGCTGCATTCCCATGGAAATATTTAGCTTTTTTGACCCATATATCAGCAAACCTCAATAGTATGGAGATGTATTCATATTGGGAGATCCTTTTTGTAGTCTGTATACTTATCCAAACTAAAAAAAGAAAGATATTTATCAAATCATTCAATTAGTAAGGGGGTTTCTTAAAAAGAGTTATGAATCAAAATTATACAAGTTGAGCAATCACTATGGAAACCCGTAGAATGTTCCTGCTCACTGAGCTACTTTTAGAACTCTAGACCAACATTGTTATTGAAATCTAATTCCATAAGTACTGCAGCTTAATTTAACATTGATGAGGACCTGAAAGATAATGAATGACTAGATTAGATGTTAATCAAAATCAAATGCCCTATACATTAAAAATACATCAACAATTGATCCCCCTCAAATGATTGGTCACAGGGCAGCTGACAGTACTTCACTAAACTCACCGCAGTTTGAAATGAAGGTATATGTAATTATTTAACAAAGCAATGTAATAGTATCCTCTTTTATTTTACTAAACATCTATGTTAATTCACTAGCACCCGATGCTGTAGTAATTAGCTTCTCAGCAATGTTATATAAAAAAATGCAATTTACTAATTGATGTAACTTTGCTGTTCCGCTAATTTGTAAAATGATTCTACCAAGCTCCCATTAGGTAACTATGGAAACTGCAACACCATTTACTATTTAGCAAGTGGTGTCACAGTTTAACAGGCTGAAAAAAACATCAACATTCTTTATGGCATAAATGCTACATCTAGTGAGACAACACATATGGTCTCACTAAATGAGTGAAAATAAACATCTAATGGGTAGCTGAATAAGGAAGAAATAATTATTTTTATTTTTATCTATAAGAATCAGATATCACTATCACTATCACCATGGGCTGCTTCACAACGAATTAGAGCGACTGATCAATAAATGGTACATAAAAAATATATAGGTGTGTAAGCGCTCTAATAAGAGAAATTACATAAAAGACTCAAAGTCTACTCCAGCAACGATAGTATTAATTGAACAAATACAATGTGTCCAATGCCCTAGGTCTAATTATGGACATAAAAAAGGTCCCTTAGTGCAAAAACACAAGTAGAAGCACAATGCACTAAACTGTATTTGGCAAAATACAAGGTGCCTTTTATTTATAAAATATAAGAAGGTATAAGTCTAAGAGTAAGTGGCACACTTATTGGCACCCCTATGAATTCATATGAGATAAACATATTTGAAGTATACTGCCAATGATATTCTACATTTTTAGTACACCTGGGTGACAAGGAACAGGAAATTGTTCAACCACAACTTCCTGTTTCACAAGGGTATAAATATGAGGTAAATCATAGGTCTTTCTCTCAATTATTTATCACAATGATGTGCGGCAAAAGATTGCTGAGCTTCACAAATAGGAGGTGGCTGTATGAAAATAGCAGACACATTAAAAGTGTCCATTTATACCAGCATGGCAATAATTAAGAAGTTCCAGTCAACTGGAAATTTTATGAATCAACATGGAAGAGTTTGTGTTGTCTCAACGCACTGTGAAGAGGATGGTTTGAGTTGCCAAAAAATCTCCAAGGATCATAGCTGGAGAATTGCAGTAGTTAGTTGCGTCTTCGGGTCAGAAAGTATTCAAAACTACAATCCAACATAACGTACATCACCACAAGTTTTTGAAAGGGTTTCAAGAAAATACTCTCATTCAAAATACTCTCATTGCCATGAAAACTGGAACTTCAAATGGGATTGGGTTCTATGGTCAGATGAAACCAAAATAGAGCTTTTTGGTGCACACAGAAAGGTAGCCATATGGAAAAGTGCCTTATGCCGATGTTAAATAGGATGGTGGCTCTTTGATGTTTTAAGGCTGTTTTTCTGACAGAGGACTTTGACATTTCTTTAGGATACATGGCATCATGTACTCTATCATTATCAACAGATATGAAATGAACACCTGACTGCCTCTACCTGAAAGATTAAAATGGGCCGTAGTTGGATCCAGTAAGACAATCTAAAGCATACCTCAAAATCAACACAGGAATATTTTATTGCTCACAAAATTAAGTTCTTGCCTTGGCCATCTCAGTCCCTCAACTTAAACCACATAGAAAATCTGCAGGGGGGACTGAAGAGGAGAGTCTACCAGTGTCAACTTCAAAATTGAATCCTGAAGGATCAGGAACGATTATGTATGGAGGAATGCTCTCAGATCCCTTGCTATGTATTCTCAAACCTCATCAGGCATTATAGGAGAAGATTCAGAGCTGTTATCTTGGCAAAGGGACGGTTCACAAAGTATTGACTAAATGGGTGCCAGTAATTGTGTCACATATATATATATATATATATATATATATATATATATATATATATATATTATAAACCTTTGTTGTGTTTATAATTGTTTGATATCCATGAGAGCAGCGTATTTTTGTGTATTTTTTGAACAAAAGATGAAAAGTTTAAACAATATAGACAATTTTGCACAACCTTCTTTTCTCATACTTGCCAAGTTATTATTAGAGGGCATTGTATGAAGGGAGGAAATTTGTATATTAATTCTAATACTAAAATCAATATAGAGATGTGCTGATCAGTTGTGAGACTCTCTTCACATTTTTATGTAGGTAGTTTTGGTCTGGTTTGGTACATGTTTTGGATTCTGGTGTCCTATGAAAGTCCAGCAAAGCATCCGACCATAACTGATGAAGAACGTATCTATATCGAGGAAAGCATCGGAGAAAGTGCTAATCTTATGGGTCCTTTAGAGGTAGGAGATTATTTGGTCTTGTGTATATTTCATATGATCGGCCTCCGATCTTTCAGACAGAAAAGGGAAAAGCCTAAATCCTGTGGTGTCTTCCAGACTGGATTTGGGAATCATTTCCCTAGAACTCAAGTGTGTTTACTTACTTATAAAAGTTCACATTCTAAGATAAATATTTTGGTAATACGTCTTACATTTGTTTCTTTGAAATATATTACACATTGCCTTTGGCATGAAACACTTATTTATTACTAAATTTAATATTGGATTTATTTCATATTGACCTATAAACCTGGGCTAAATAATTGTAACCTGTAGTTGTCAGACACAGGAAGAGTCACTCATGGTTAAAAAGTTGATTAAACCTTTGTGCTATTTTCATGAAACTATGGAGTAAATTATATAATTATCGCCATGTTTAATCATGCTTCTAGGACATGCTAGATCACTCAGTAATAGTGATGTCCCGAACACTTCTCCGAACGGTTCACGAACGGTTCACCACGGACTCATCATCGAGTAAACTTTGACCCTGTACCTCACAGTTAGCAGACACATTCCAGCCAATCAGCAGCAGACCCTCACTCCAAGACCCTCCCACCTCCTGGACAGCTCACTAAGAATGCAGCTTCACAATGGATGCTGTCCAGGAGGTGGGAGGGTCTGGGAGGGAGGGTCTGCTGCTGATTGGCTGGAATGTGTCTGCTGACTGTGAGGTACAGGGTCAAAGTTTACTCAATGATGAGTCCGTGGCGAACCGTTCGTGGCGAACTGTTTGCGAACCGTTCGGCGAACAGTTCGGCACATCACTACTCAGTAAATGTTTAAACCCATGAATCATCTCTCCTTCTCAATGTTTCAGAAATTCAAGACTCCTTGGAAAAAATTCTTTACCTCGATGCCTGTCTATGCAATTATTGTGGCAAACTTTTGCAGAAGTTGGACATTTTATCTGCTGCTAATTAGTCAACCAGCATACTTTAAAGAAGTCTTTGGATTTGAAATCGGCAAGGTAATTAAATTATTGAAATCGTGTCATATTTTATTATAGACATGTCTAATGCATGTTCCTGGTACTTTTATTTATTATTAGCCCAAATCTGTGTGCATTGTGTTAGGTGGGATTGCTGTCTGCTGTTCCACACTTGGTCATGACAATTATTGTGCCTATTGGAGGACAAATTGCTGATTTTCTGCGAAGTAAGCAGATTCTATCGACAACGACTGTGAGGAAAATTATGAATTGTGGAGGTGAGATTACTAGATGGCAATATTATTGAATCCATTCCTTTCATCTAAATAGCTCACAAGCCACCCTTAATACATTACAGAAACCACGCACTTTGAATCTAATCTAATATCGAACAACAAGCCCTTTTATATCTTAACATGTCTAGTATATCACCCAAATATCCCCATTAAATCAATCCAAATCACCCGATACCCTTAACAACCCCCTTTAAATTTAAACACAACCCCTAAAATGTCATCCAACCACCTCATTAAATCAAACCAGATCATCTGCATTATCTAATCACATCAACCAATCACAGCCATTGGTATAATATTTTTATTTTAAGAATAATATGAAAAATATGATATTCCCGGTAAATTCGCTTGAAAGTAAAAAAAAATGGGAACGTCTACTAGACATGACTATTGAATGTATTTACTAAGCACTGAAATAGTAGTGAATTGAAAATCAAATTGCTAAATGTAAGCAAAAGGTTCTGATTTATATATGTTATGCTGCATTTTGCCATTCGGGTTTTAATTTGTTACATTTTACTGTTTAGTGAATGTACCCCATTGTGTTTGATTTTTGTTTTTTCTAAATTATTAATTTTAATGTGCATAAAAATAGACAGCCTTTAAACATCTGAAAACTGTGTTAATCTTAACATTTTAAAAGCAAAATCTACAAAATGAAAAGCCTTCTAGATTGGTAAATATATCATATATTTAAATGCACTTTTTCTATCGCATTCTAGGATTTGGTATGGAAGCAACTCTTCTGTTGGTGGTTGGATATTCTCATAGTAAAGGAGTGGCTATATCATTCCTTATCTTAGCCGTTGGATTCAGTGGATTTGCTATATCTGGTAATAAAGCTCAGACGATTTTGCATGCATTCTAAAAACTTTAATTATAGGTCTTTTTTTTTTTTATCAGTCATTTGGACTTGAAATATTTCTTCATTCTCTGCCATCTATGGTCTCAATTCAGTATTGTTGTAAAATCTTTCCAAATAACGTATTATTTTTCTATAAGCTTCAAAACTTATTTTTAAAAAAAATGTAAATATCACAAATATATAATATATAGATGTCATATATCATATATAAAAAGTTATATAAAGATATTAAGAATAGCAGAATGTTAAAACATTCTAACATTTTTCATTATATTTAATCATTTTAAAAGTTTATCCAAAAATCTTATCAAACAATATTAAGTTGGGGACAATATTAAATTGAGGCCGATGATATTTAACAGCATTGGGTATTTTTTAACCGTTTACCTTATCCCTATTTTTAAAAACATTGAATTGCAGAATATATGTTTAGATTTTTTTTCTCAAACATGGATCATTTACTCTGAACATGTTCTTACTCGCTATGCAGTATATAAAACTCATTTAAAGAAAAATGACGGAAAGAAAAGGGAATTAATTCGTTATTTTGGTGATGTTCTAGAGACAAAATGAAAACATTTTCAGCATGTCAAATGTTAATAATTTCTATAGACAGAATAATTAAATATTGATATTTTGTTTTTACAAAACTAGGAACTTTGGGGATATTAAGAATATTGGAGATTGTAGACCAAAGTATTCCTGACCTATAATTTTCAATTCCCTTGTCAGTTCTCTGGAATTCCTGATTTGATCAATAAACCAGGTTAATGAATAAACCTGCTTCTGCTGAAACTGAGCAGATACGATTTCTGCAAAAAAGCGGGTGAATGTATTTTTCAAAATAAAAAAATAATATTGAAAGTTTATCCGCAAATAATAAATAATTTGAGAAGCTTATCCAAAAATATGGAATTGAGGTATTTATACCTTATATTATAATTGTTTATGTTAAGCCTGACATTGTATTATAGTGAATATGATTTGCGCTTTCTTTGACAATAACCTGTTTTCCCTGGATTTGCCTTTTTAGTACATAACTGAATTGGAAATCTAGAGGAAATCTAGAGGAAATCTAGAGGAAATCTAGAGGAAATCTAGAGGAAATCAAGTGATAAACTAAAATTTGTTTTGATTTTTTTATATATCTATAAATGCTGTATATATCATTTTGGGAACTGAGTAGTTTTGCGAAACTAAATAACTGTTTTACTAGCTTTCAGTAGGAATTGATCTTGATCTTGTATTTTAGTGTTTACAAAAAAAGTGTTCACAGTGAAATTTGACACTTACTCTTGTCTACACTAATCCCATACAGAAATCCCATACGTATATGCACAAAAGCCTTTCAAAATGTATTTTAAATCTTACTTCTCTCCCCCTTGCTGCGCGAAATACCGCTCTTCCACTGCTCTCAAAGATTGTTTCTGTTTTGTCCCCAGGATTCAACGTGAATCATCTAGACATCGCTCCTCGTTACGCCAGCATATTGATGGGAATATCTAATGGCGTTGGCACGTTATCTGGGATGGTTTGCCCTCTCATTGTTGGCGCAATGACAAAGAACAAAGTATATAATTTTGATACATTATGTGGGTTGTAGTGGACTGAAGAATAACTTGTCCAGTTTACTGGTCTATTAAACAAATAGTAAATATAACACACATCAGCCTCGATTTAATAAGCCTTCCAAACGATTCAATACTGTTAAAAAAATCTCCAAAATTATTTATCCACAAACGTCGCCATTAAAGTTTATGGTAATATTTGTAGAAAAATCATTTGGAAACGTTTTCTAGCATTACTGAATAATTTGGAAAACTTCTTTAATAGAGGCCATAATGTGAACTTTGGTACAAAATTATTTATTATCTGAGAAAAAAATAAATTACTACTGTATTGTTCCCGGAAAACCGTAACGTGATGCGCCAAATACTCTAACTATAACAGCTTATAGTATTACAGCATATTATACAGTTAATTGAACAGCTTATTGTACTGCTTAATTTATCGCTTATTGTACAGCCTATTATATGCCTTACTGTACAGAATATTACATGGTTTATTCTATGACATATTATATGATTTATTGTATGGCTTCTTACATGGCATATTGTACAGCATATTCGCTTATTATATGGCATGTTTTATGACTTTATTGTGTGGCCTGTTGTATGGCATAATGTACAGCGCTTTATATGGCTTATTGTATGACATAGCAAAACTTATTATTTGCCTGTATTGTACAAAATACTAGGTTATTGCATTGCTTAGGAAAATAAGTTTCACTTTCTCGTTGGACCTCTAAGTTATCTTAATGACTAATCAGATTTCAGCGCCATTACTATTAAAGTAACCCCATAACAACCCAAGCTTGCTTAAAGGGACATTATAGTCGCCAAAACAACTTTAGCTTAATGAAGCAGTTTTGGTGTATGTGTCATGCCTCTAAATTTCCACTGTTCAATTCACCACCACTTAGGAGTTAAATCAGTTTTGTTTCTGTTTATGCATCCCTAGCCACACCTCCCCTACATGTGACTGACACAACCTGCATGTAAGCAAAATGGCCAGATCTAACTTACTTTAAAATGTTTTATCTCCTGCTCAGTAAATTGAGCTTTAATTACATTCAGGAGGCTCATGCAGGGTCTAGCAAGCTATTAACAGAGCAGAAGATAAGAAAATATAAATGAAACAGAATTTGCAACAAAGGAAGTGTAAACATTAGATGATTCTTTACAAGAAGTGTTTAGGAAGGCTGTGTAAGTCACATGCAGGGAGGTGTGCCTAGAACTGCATTTAAAAAAAGTGATTTAACTCCTAAATGGCAAAGAATTAAGAAGTGAGAGTGCAGTGGCATGATCTATACACCAAAACTGCTTCATTAAGCTAAAATTGTTTTAGTGTCTATAGTGTCCTTTTAAGTTGTGATTGGGGGCTGGAGTGGTTTTTCTATTTCTCTTAATGGGTGCCCAGTGATAGACTGAGAGGCTCAGCTGATGCTTTCAGCCTCTCATTGCTTAAACCTTCCTCATACTGCAGCACAGAGAGAAATGGAAAACATCAAGAAGGTGAATTGCATAATTTTGCACATTTTGATTATTTTGCATAATGACATTTTGTTCTCATAATGTTGCACCATCTGTGAAGTAACTGTCTAAAAATGTTCCCTCCACAGTCACGTGAAGAATGGCAGTATGTTTTCCTGATTGCGGCACTTGTTCATTACGGTGGAGTTATATTCTATGGAATATTTGCTTCTGGTGAGAAACAACCGTGGGCAGACCCTGAACAAACCAGTGATGAGAAATGTGGCTTTATCAATGAGGATGAACTTGCTGAAGAAAGTGGAGACATTTCTCAAAACTACATAAATTATAGCACCACAAGGTCTTATGGAGCCACAACGCAGGTTAACAGTGGCTGGCCAAATGGCTGGGATAAAAGAGAAGAGTTTGTGCAGGAAAATCAAGATTCGTACCATTGTGCAGATGAAGGAAAGGATTCTTAACATTACTCCACATAACTAGATATTTTTGTAGTGTCTGTGATGAATTTCATTGTGATTGTTTTCACATATGTGGTGACACGTGTTTCACATATATTCAACGCAGATCTTGCCTTGAAGGAAAGCCCCATATGTATGAGTTGTGAGATTCCATTCATGGATTCCATTGGGTCATCTTCATTGTAAAACAACGAACATTAAAGTTTACAAACCATCACAATGGAGGATGCTCCTCTGTGAAAGCACAATTACCGATAGCAAGTTATGCATGGGATAGTCTTAAAGGATTTATTTTGTAGGAAAGATACTGAAAGATATGTGATATGTAAAGAGTAGAAATGTCAACATTGTTCTTAGATTATTGAAGGGATATCATAACAAAATATTTATAGGTCAAAATGGTTCTAGATGTATTACTGAAAAGGTTTACCGTAAGAACCGTAAATAAAGTACCATGAGTTTAACTCAATAGCACACAATGACAAAGACATTCCAAATCTACAAACTGCTGTGCAGATAAATTCAATGTTGAGCTGTGGATTTCGGGAATGGTATGTGGATATCAGTACTGGTCTGTGGATCATGATAGTTATTTGTAGTGCCCTGTTGAGATCAGTAGTTATCTGTGGACATCAGTAGTGACCTGAGGAGATCAATAGCAATCTGTGGACATCAGTAGTGCCCTGAGGACATCAGTAGTTATCTGTGGACATCAGTAGTGACCTCAAAGTAGATCAATAGCAATATGTGGACATCAGTAGTGACCTGAGCAGATCAGTAGTTATCTGTGGACATCGGTAGTGACCTGAGGAAATCAATAGTGATCGGTGGACATTGGTAGTGGCCTGTGTAGAGCAGTAAGGATCTGTGAACATCTATAATGGCCTGTGGACATCTGAAGTGCTACTCAAGTGATCTGTGAAGATTGGGTTTTTGCCCCATGGAACTAGAAATTGTATTAACTATCAAAAAGAATCTAACATTTCATGCCAAGCACACAAACTCAATCTGCCAAATCTACAATATGCATTGCAGAAGTGTTCCCATCAGTGGAGTGGATCAGGGACATTTTGTAGATAGTCTCGTATGAAATATTTTTAGTAACACACTGCAAATAAGAATTTATAGCAAACTAGCTGTATGAGCATAATCTTATAAATACATTCTCATTAGATATTTAAAGAATAGTTAAAAATAAGATAAATCTAACAAATATCTATTTATAGTAAATGTACAGGAAGGACACAAATTACCTAGAAATTGAATTTTTTTCTAAGAGTAATTATTGAATGTCATCATACATATTATTTTCTTCTTAATCTATGTATAGGTAAATTGAGAATGTTATACTCTAAACTAAATCTAACATGTTATTACTGAAGTGGAAACAAACACAATAATCACTGTTTGTCAGATAATTTGCCTTTCCATCTACAGAAACCTTTTCTTTATGGTGATTATTTTATTCCATTTATCGGCCTTTACATTTTCATATAATAGTGGCATTAGGCTTCTCTCTGTACAACTTGACATTATGAAGAGCCAATACAAATCTATTCATCTAGGCTAATGACCACGTACCTTTGAACAGTACCAACATGTCTATGCCTTTCTCCTGCGATTTGTATTATGTTCACTGTCAATGAGGAGAAAGTGTGTTTTAGAGAGATACACGTGGTGTTACATTAAAAAAAGTGCATTTTAGCTGGTTGTAGAATTATATATGCTATATGTTCCCGAGTTGAAAGTAATGAAACACAGACAAAAATCTGTATTATATTTTCAATAAGGATTCACATAACAAGAACTGGTTAAAATAAAATAGCACTCCTGGCACCATAACAACTTCATTGGAATGAACTATCATCGGCACCCAGTCCGAGATTTTCTTTTTCAATGGATGTGTAAGGTGTAGAGCTGACAGATACCGGACAGAAGACTTTAAAGTTAAACTGTTTGTTAGCAGTTTAACCCTGTAAGGTAACCTGGCATCTAGGACTTCCTGGCACCATAACAACTCCATTATGATAAGTTATTAACTTGCTAGAATGGTCCTATAATATCTTTAACTAATTAATAGAATTTGGATTGGCTGAAAGTCAAAGGTGCTTTAATAATCCTAAGGTGATGGTTTGGGCTGGATGTGAGTTATAATGGGACATATTGTTAAAGCATGAACTCTGAATATTAAAATATTGCAGAATGAGTTATTCACGAAACTCAGATTTTTTTCTGAATTACATCTAATGGCAAAATGGGTAAAACAGCTGATTTGTTCAAATTCTCTAGGTCAGCTATAGACACACCTTTGGTATTTTAGCCTAAATGTTCCCATTTGAATCTAATTCCCTAAAATACACGTTTATGGAATAACATTGTAAATATTTATTTTAAAACATTTTCAAAAGTATTTTTTTTTTATTATGGCGCTTAGGAATTAGAAAGTAAGTAGGACTTACTCTAAGAGTGTACAATATACATAGATAGTTAGTACTTAACTATTTGTGATATATCTAAAACGAATGCACAAGCCATCAGAAATATCACAAACAGTGTATTGGTAGAAAGATAAAAGACTTTGCATTCAATAAAATGTTCTAACTAGCAAGCAATAAGTACACAGAAAATCAACTGAATTGGTTACAGGCATCAACTGAAATGGAATCAATTTGGGGCTTTAAACTTTAAATAAAATGTTAAAAAAAGCTCTTGTTTTGAGTAAGAGTAAACTTTTCATAATCCATTCCCCTCCAGACATCCGATTCTTCTATGTGTGTGTTAGTGACTTTCTGCCCATTGTATCGTGATAGTGCACAGAGGCCCAATTATTGCAATATCAATCTGAAGAAAAACAAAAGCAGAAAAAAAATAGAAGACTGGCCTAAAAATTAAAAAAAAAATTTAAAACATAATTTTTTGCTTTGTGCCTCAAAGTGATGTGAAATACTGTGTTTTAAGAAAAGGTGTGGACAGTGTCCCTTTTTTGTCAGTGCAAAAAAAAGTGTTAATAAAATGCTATATTTATCTTTTTGTAAAAAAAAATAAAAAATAAAATACAAGTATACTACACTATATTGTGTCTTTTTTTAAAGGTCTCATCTTCCCGTTATTCTTATATTGTGAGAATGATCATATTGGTAAACGAGATAGCTCCATAGTCCATAGTCTGGTAGTCTGTTTGGATCTTTCAATTCAGCCTTACATCCTTATGAGGTTAATACAATGAGTAACATTGAGTTGGGTAATAATATTCATCAGGATGTTACAGGGTGCACTTAAAACTAATGAAAGCCACATTCTTCTTCTTCTTTTTATTGTTTATTTTGCAGTGCTTTACAATTTTAACGTGGGGATATAACAAACTTACAAACGTTAGCAGGAAATAAGCGGTTATTGAGGACTCTGCTCAGACGAGCTCACAGTCTAGAGAGGGGAGGTGTTAAAACAAAGGAGCAGCGGGAGTCGGGGCCGGATCGCCGAGCTGAATGGCAGCATGCACGTTGAGCTCTTGCAAGCCATCAAACTCTAAGCTTTGAAACTATGATTTCCAGCACCAGAACCAACCACCAGCGGCGGTCCACGGAGCTAAAGGGATACTAGATCCAGGGTGAGGCTGGCTTAGTGAGCTGCAGTCCACTGGAGGAGAGGGCACCAATGCCCCAATCGAGGTCTACTCCGGTGGTGAGGGGGGCAGACGGCCGCTGCCCCACTATCCTGCCTAACAGAACCCAGCCTGGGGCCCAAACAAGTGTGGACAAGGCCCTGTTCCCCCCCTCTGGACCGGTGGGGTTGATCCTGGTCCTCACCCCAAGGCCCTGACAAAGACATGGCAGCAGAAGCTAGGGGGCCTAACAGCCATGCCCAAGATGGCGGACGCCATGTGCACAGGAGACATGGGGGGAAACAGCTCACTCCCCGCGCTCACAGCCGACACTGCAACCCCTGCCTCCAGACCCTGCCATACAGGGAAGCGGGATTACCTTTACCCACTAACACAGCCACTCAAGTCAGCAATGTCAGCGGCTGCCCTGGGGGGATGGGGCTACACAACAGGCCGTCCATTGCCGTATGGAGGGACCGAGTCTACCACCAAGCGTGTCACCTCAGCGGCGAGACAGACCTCCTACTCGCCTCCCACTCGGCCTGCAACAGCACGACCCCTGCAGCGGCAGCTGTGTGTGGATGATGCCGGACCCCCCCATCGTGGCTGACACCGGCCCCCAGGGGACCAAGCGGCACAAGCACTCCGTACCATGGCTGCAACCCCAGGGAAGCCGGCGAACGGCTCAGAGAGCGGCAGGGCTGGACTGTGTTTTGCTGCCTGCTCTGGTGGACACTCACCCACTGCTGCATGAAACGGACAGAGCAGGTATCGGATAGCAGCGGAACTCCCCCTGTATTTGAGGTCTCAGCAACACCACAACGACGGCTCCTCACTGAGGCAGCACTGGTAGTTCCTAACAGCCGGGGTGAAAACGGCATTAAAGCGACATCACAAGACCTAGCCTGAATACCTATTATAACCAAACTACACTAGCCTGATTGTAAAGCTTCTGCTATATATATGCATCAAGCAACCTTTCATATCTAGCAAGTATTTTGTGCATAAACTTAATCTTGGTAAAGCAAATAGATATGTATGCTTAGCTTAATCAGTTATGCAAATCATCACTATATCATGTTCTTGTCTTCCTCGTATCTCAAACTTGTTTTAAAAAAAAAAAAAGTGCAGCATCTCTTGACTACCCATACCAACTGTTTATGATGATCTCGTGTTGAACAAGTCAGTGTTTATGCCTGTTGATGAGATCAAAAAGTAATGTTGGAAGTTAGGAGAATTAAGTGGAAGAACGACTGTTTCTTAGGAAGGCCATAGACCCTAACAATGGGTTGAAGATTAGGGTAAGATGGATTTCCAATGAGCCAGCAGTCTGGGTTGGAACAGTGGACTGGAAAAGGTCACTGGCAGGGGGGTAATCAAACAGACCATGGCTTCTGGTTAATCATAGAGGAGGGGTCATTCCAAAAACAGAATGTGGCTCCTCGTCATTTACACAGTTGGGATCTTTCCTGCTACAGAAAGTGACTCCTTATCATTTACAGAGGAGTGGATCATCCCTGAAACAGAAAATGGTTAGAGTTAAAGGAACACTCCATGCACCATAACCACAACAGCATGCAGTGCATAAGACTAGCAATGTAAGTAGTCAAACCATTTTAGAATGATATCACTTCTTACTTAGGGGGCTGGGCACAGTTCCATAAACTCCTGAGTGGGAGGTTCCAGCTCTCCTCAAGGCTGAGAAGGGATTGGATACAGCCCAGGTTATAAGGCAAACCATTCTAATACAGTTTGACACCTTACAATGAAGGCGCCAGGGCACTTCAGGCACCATCATTGCTGCACCTACTCTTGATCAATCACAGAAAGGGGACCACTTATGATGAAGAACTGAAAGAAGAGGATGTACGGTACAGAATATTTGCACACAGTTCTTATTCCTGAATAAGATCACAGTTGCCATTTATTTGCATTGCATGTCATTCTTGATGCAAAATGTAGTTCCTCAATATATATGTATATATATTGAGAGAGAGAGAAAGAGAGAGCAAAGTACTGCTTTTACTGAAATCTTTTCATCTACATTTCTTACTGGTTTCTTTCCATGAAGGAAAAGTCAGAATATAAATAAATCATTAAACGCACAAATCAAAACCTACTCTGAAATTTGGAAAAAAGCATTTGCAGACGACCGCACCTGTGACTAATGGATGTTGCCATGGTGATAGAGCAGGTCCTTAATAGGGACTTAATGATTTAACACAGAACATAAATTGAAATGAGGGTATCCGTGTTACCGTTAATGAGTATGGTTTATTGCTGAACAGAATCGGCACCATATATTACTCTATGAGACTACCACACTGAGAGGGAGCGTTCACGTCCTGAAGAGTGTATTTTGTGAGGTTTTTCTTATTGTTTAAAATAACTTTTTTTTTTCTCATCAGTCAGATATATTCGTCAGTATCTCTCGTTCCTAGAAACGGATTGGTTAATTGAAGATCTGAGCGGTCCTCAAGGCAGGGGACAATACGACGACGATGGCTGACACATCACTAGTAATTGCACACGGTTAGATATCTGTGATATAGACTGTAATATATCCGAGAAGACGCACCATATTCATGTATGTCTTTGTCTATTTATGTTTAAATTATCTATTTTTTTTTCTTTGTCAATTAATGTATGTTTATAAACTGAAAATTCTAATAAAGAATATATATATATATATATTAAAAAAAATAATGATTTAACATAGAACATATTTGTGGTTTTTTTATACATTAAGTCTTCCTGTTAATATTAGGTGCACACAGAGTAAGAAGATACTGCTTTTGCCTCCACCTATAAAACTGACATTTTAAGTTGGAACCCAGTGTGCATGATTGCCCCAACGCATTTTCCACTCAGTCCATGCCCCAACCTCACATACATCAATGCCACAAGTATGCTCTAAATTCCAAACAGGCATATTAAGGCAAAGCTAAAATAGTGATAGATATCCAGTGATTTATGGGACTGGCACCATCAATAAATGTCACTGCTAGGAAAGGATTTATATGTTAGTGCCGGAGCAGTAAAATCACAGAATATATTTAGAGTGTCAAGGTTACATTGAGCGTTAATATACATACACTGTACACATCAATCATAGAGAAATATTTTCTAAATACAGAGTTTATTGATCTGATCTCCTGCGTAGCTACACTTGCAGGGGAAACATCAGCAAAATTCAATTTTATATTCTAATCAATATAAACAGGGGTATTCACTAACATGAGAATTATTTTGAATTCCATGTTTATTTTACATTTAAGACCAAAATAGCCAAACTGGAAAGTTTATCCATGTCATCTATGCATCTGGTTCGGCTACGTAAATGTAAAATTCACTTTGAATTCATGTTTCCCTTTATTGTATAACCCTGTTAGTGATAGAACACATTGCATGTCATATCCGCAATTATGGAATAACCTCCCAGACACTTTCAAATCTTCCCCCAGCCTAAAATCTTTTAAGAGATCCCTCTCTATACATCTCAAAACAGAATGCACCTGTCATTGATTGATTATATATTAGTTACCGGTTCTATGTTAAATTAATATTGTTTATGTATTTTTACTATTTTAGTGTGCCTTATTGTAACAATGCAGTGTTTGTGGACCCAGTGCATACTTGAAAATGAGAAAAATCTCAATGAATCTTGGTAAAATATTTTAATTATTAGGATTTAAGCAATCCTAATAAAGTGTACTTTACTCCTTTTCCAAATCAGCTCCCACCCACGAAAGACCTGTATCTTTGCTGTTATATATGATTATTTTTTTCACAAACATTTTTGGTTCATGATGAACAATGAATGATTGGCGGCTGCAACGAGAAGTGTCAAGGCTTGTCAGCAGACGCAGGAATAAAGAACTCAGATACACAGACCGAAGATCAAGGCTGCATTCTGAGAACGAAGTGCCTCTCCCACTAACGTAACTTCTTTACAATGTATTGATTATTGCGTGGGCTGGGGAGGGGGCACTCACAATGCCTGCAACATCAGTAGGCAAAAGAATTAATATCACATCAAATATGTATGAATCGCATCAATGATTTCATTAGAGTGCTGTAAAAACCACGTAGAATATGACGTAACAAATGTTGTTGAAGAATAATTATATTTTACTGCGATTCATTTTATTAAATTAACCTCCGCACTGTACAGTTATAAGACTGACAGCGGGAATCGTTTTCTGAGTTTAGGCACAAGAAAAATATAAATTATTAAAGTAGACCTCAACGGTACCTCCATGGGAATACACAGCATAGAGCAACAAAGGGCAATCACCCCTTATGAATAATGCAGTGTCCATGATTTAGACCAGGTGTGCCCAAAAGGTAGATCCCCAGATGTTTTAAAACTACAGCTTCCATGATGCTTTGGGATTCTAAAGGCATGCAAAGCATCGTGAGAGTTGTATTTCTAAAACACCTGGGGATCCAGCTTTTGGGAACACATGATATAGTCGGTGGATACACACTTAAAATCTTTTACATCTGATATTCCAGTAGATACAGCTTTCGTATGGATCTACATAAAGTCTCCTCCTTTTTAATGGAAATTGATGGGTTCTGGCAGCCTAGAAGGAGGAGCAAGGAATAAGGATTTTCTATACACACTGCCGAAGGAATCTCTGGTGGGAAAAGAAACCTCTCTACATTCGCAGCCAAATCTATTTGAAACAATTACACAGAACCAGAAAGGTAAGTATTGATTTTAGGCCATGATTCATGCAACTATTCCCCAAAGTTACAGAGTCTTTATCCAGGGGAATTTAACTATTGCCGGGTAAATAAAAAGTCTGATGATTAATTACTTGTAATAAAGATATTCTGTTTTATCCATTGACATGTTGTTATGTGTGATAAAAATGTGAAAAAACTTTAAAGGACCAGTATAGTGCCAGGAAAACATACTCGTTTTCCTGGCACTATAGTGCCCTGAGGGTGCCCCCACCCTCAGGGTTCCACTCCCGCCGGGCAAGGAAAGGGGTTAAACTTACCTTTTTTCCAGCGCTGGGCGGGGAGCTCTCCTCCTCCTCTCCGCCTCCGATCCTCCTCTTCGACTGAATGCGCATGCGCGGCAGGAGCTGCGCGCGCATTCAGCCAGTCTCATAGGAAAGCATTCATAATGTTTTTCTATGGACGCTTGCGTCTTCTCACTGTGGTTTTCACAGTGAGAATCATGCAAACGCCTCCAGCGGCTGTCAATGAGACAGCCACTAGAGGCTTTAGAGGCTGGATTAACCCATTTATAAACATAGCAGTTTCTCTGAAACTGCTATGTTTATTAAAAAAAAGGGTTAACCCTAGCTGGACCTGGCACCCAGACCACTTCATTAAGCTGAAGTGGTCTGGGTGCCTAGAGTGGTCCTTTAATGGTAAAAAAAAAATTACAATCGTCTTTTAACCAGCAAACTAGGAAAATTCCCTAATGAGATTAAAGAAAAGAAAATCTGCATGAAATGATAGAGTCTTAGTACATATGAATGATAATACACTTTCAGTCAGGGGCGGACTGAGAGCCTTTGGGGCCCCCGGGCAAAATTAGATCCCAGGCCCTTTGAAGGCCAAATATATGTGCATTTTAATAAATGTTAAATATAATTCATAATACGGCATTCCTTTGGATGTGTGTATTGTGAAGACCCGTGTATCAATGCATGTTTGTATTTGAGTCTGTGTGAATGCACTTGTGCATGTCTGGATGACTACATGTGCTTTTTTGTATATAGTGTCTGTGTGAATGCATATGTGACAGGTGACAGATGGAAGAGTGTGGGAGGTTGTGACAGGTGGCAGAGTGAGGGGGTACCTGGTGGCAGAGTGAGGGAGGGAGTGGTTGAGTGGTGGCAGAGTGAGGGGGAGACACAGTGAGTGGGGGTGACTGGTGACAGAGTGAGGGAGTGGGTGACTAGTGACAGAGTGTGGAAGGGGGTGACACAGTGACAGAGTGAAGGAGGTGGAGACTGTCACTAGTCACCCCCTCCCCTCCTTCACTCTGTCACTATTCACCCCCTCCCTCTCTCTGTCACTAGTGACACCCTCCCTCACTCTGTCACTAGTCACCCCCTCCCTCTCTCTGTCACTAGTGACACCCTCCCTCACTCTGTCACTAGTCACACCCTTCCTAACTGTCACTAGTCACCCCCTCCCTCTCTCTGTCACTAGTCAC